GTGTGTGTGTGTGTGTGTGTGTGTGTGTGTTTATTGTGAATATTGTTTTCTTACTTTATGTTGTCATTTTTTTATATCCTTACTATAAGTAAGTTGTGTATGTCTTGTCAAAAGAGTAGTTACGCAATGATATATCATCGGTATCTATATCTAGTTTTAGGTAATCGATCTGTATAAAAGGTTTTAATTTTGGCTTACATTTTAAAAGATTAATAACATACTAGTCACGCAAGGAAATTATTTTCTGTAATAAAAAAATACATTCAACCAGAAAAACTTGCGTTACTTAACTTTTTATAGTAAATTAGTTGTTATAGACATTCTCTTTTCTCTCTCTCTCTCTACTTCTTTGTAATATACGTTAAGATGTCTAATGTTGAAGATGACAAATAATTAAACCTTTTGGGGATGGAGAATATAACTAAAGATCATTATAATACTGAACCTAGATTTCAACGCTTCATCCTCAAATTTGTCTTTTTCTATACTTATTACAGAAATATATTTAAAGTTGTATTCCACATTCTCAGGACTCGTCAAAAGTTTGTTTTAGAGCTTAACCAAAGATCTTCGGCTATACTTACCACCCAAGGCCATTCTCCAAAATTCGAAGTTTCTCCACCGACAATTCTTCCGACAGGCCCCTTGTTAGGACGACCGCAAACTAAGATTAATAAAAGAATCTTAAAAAGTGTAACCTGACATTTCAAAGGATTATGTTTGTATTATAAATGTGTAAGCATCGCATCACTGACATTTCTGACTAACATCATATGCTCAAAGGTGTGCGTGTACCGTTATAGCATTTGTGAATTATTATACAAAACATGATTTTTAACTTTGAAATTTCGGCTTATGTTTCTATAAACAAAGACAGGAACGTGCCTTAGAATTCTAATACAAAACTATTGTGTTTATCTGGTTACAACGTACAATAATTTTTAATTATATTAATCGTTTAGTTTGCGATATTTAATCAAACAATTTTTATATGCCAAAATATTTACTGTGTATTCAAACTATTGTTTGTTTGATTACACTATTAAGCTTTTTATTAAGCGTTTAATTTGTTACATTTAATTAAACAATTAATCAGTTTACGCGAAAGGGATTATTAGGTATCCTAGCTACATAACATTGTTTAGCAAACTGGGGAAGTAGTTTCCTACACGTGCTGTTGGACTTCATCCTAGTTTGCGAGAAGCTTCAATGTAAAATATTTGGATACTAGTGGAATAGCTGGCACGATATTAAAAGACTGATTTATTTCTTTTGTAAACTATAAAAATCAAACACATATTTGCAGAACCAAAACAACAACAAAACAAAAAAACATATAGATGGATAAAAAAAAATCAAAATGAGCGATACAAACCGCATGTTATAAAACAAACGGATGCTTTGGCGGGAAGATAAATACAAACCGCACGTGAGAAAAAGAAAAGGGACGTTTTATCGGGAAAAGCAATACACAATGCATACTATAAAACAAAGGGATGCTTTAGCGGGAAATGCAATAAAAATGCATGCTATAAAGACAAAAGGAATGTTTTAAATGAGTGGTCAGTTAATGCTTTTGCTAGAGCGTGTCAGATCTAGAAAAAAAAAAACAGTCTGGTATATTTAAGTGTTTTACTACTCACAAAAAGAAA